CCCATGAGAAACTATCCACCATGGAAGCCACGGAGTTGGCCGATCTGAAGAACATGGCCAATGACTGCCTTACGTCTCGTCGAAAGGCGACCCTCGTCCTCGATGGACTAGACGAGGTAATAGACAATGAGCACGAGGTTACTATCAATTGGTGTCTGAATGAACTTTTACCAGTTGCAAAGTCATGTGGCTGTGATCTGAATATACTAATTTGTGGACAGATGAGCGGACGACTCGAAGTATTGTTATCATCCTATCCTCAGATTCGACTCGATATGATAGATGCTCACCAGCAGGACATCGATCAGTTCATCAAGGATAAAGTTGCGGACGTACATACTAGGTTTCCGTTAAAACAACAGGAAGAGGAAACCTTGGTTTCTAAGATATCAAGCCCGTCCCAAGGTAGAAATGGTAGTACTGATTACGGCGAATAATTATTAATTAATTTCAGGCATATTCTTATACGCACGTCTTGTGCTAGAACACCTCGCGGCGATGGACTCGATACAGGACTTTGAAGATGAATTAGAAGATGATACATTTCCAGAAGACTTGGACCGAGTGTGAGCAAGAGGTAGACACCAGAAGGAGAGACATTACTAACGTACTCAGCTATGACCGTATTGCTTAGCGTATAATGAAAAGACCTGGATCTTCGCGTCACAAGACCGTGAAGAAGATCTTGGGCTGGGTCATTTGCGCGACTAGGCCCCTTCGATGGCGCTAAATACAGTCGAGATTCTGCATCGATGCAGATAAAGAGATTTGTAACATAAAAGGCCTGCGTCGAGATAGCTGTAAGAGCATATGCAGCTCTCTCGTTGGAGTAACGAATTGTGACCTATTTCCCGATATTGAATCTGAGCAAGTCGTCGGCATGGTTCATGAAACAGCAGCCAGGTATGTTCATGCACTATCCTCGTTGCATGGATATGGACCAACACAGTAATAGATACCTTGTTCGCAACGGCACGATCAATCTCGTAGAGGAGCATATAAACATGGCCCTCTTTTGCTGTCGCTACCTATCCTCTCGGCCTTTTACTACAGGCAAGAGCCAAAGTATCAGTGCCGATGTCCATTCAGGTTATTTTGGGCTCTTGGATTATGCTGCTGCCCACTATATCGTCCACATACGGGAGATTGAGACCTCAGAGGTTTCGACATACTCAGCCTCAAGATTGGAGGCTGTCAAGGCAGCAGTAGTTGGTTTGGCTAAAGCCAATTGCAAAGAGATTTCACTCCAAGCAGAACAGAGTGATAAGACAACTAAAGACTTGAACTTGGCCATTGAGGGTAATGTGCTCACTGTGCGAGCCCTTATCGGTCCGTAACGAGAGAAGTCTGAAACCGCTATTTTCGAAGCAACTGAGGGGCCGAAGAGGCACAAGTGTCACAAGATTCAATGCTCGAAGTTTGCCACGGGATGTTCGAATGAAACTGCACTCAAGGAACACCTAGCAGTGCATGAGAGGCCATTCAGGTGCCCCCATACTGATTGCTTTGCCCATACAGTTGGCTACGCTTCGTCAAAGCGACTGGAAAGTCATAATGAGGCCTTTCATCACACCACATCCGAAGCCAAGGCCAAAGCTGTCTTTCCTGCTGAACTTGAGACTGGGGAATGGAATCTTTACGAGGCTTGCAAAGGTGGTAATCTCGATGAAGTTAAAAAGTTCCACCGTGAGGGCGTTGATCTCAACAGCACTCACCTAGAGGCCGTCTCACCATTGTGTGCTGCTGTTGAGGCTGGGCATGGTCATGTTTGCAGGTACTTCATCGATAACGGAGTTGACCCTTTTCGTCAGGTATCTAACAAAATGGCCTCTCGAACTGCAGTCGCTTCGGCGATTTACCGAGAACATCTGGAGATTTTGGAATTCTTTCTGTATAGCGGCAGTAGCCTAGATGATTCACTCTTGGCTGAAAACATTGCCTACGCGATACACTCGAACCGCTCAGCCGCCTTGAACATGCTTTTGACCGCAAGACAGCCAAAGTAATATGTGGACATGATCCAGCTAGTTACAGATGAAGTAATATCCCAGACCGATTTCATATTAGTTCGAAGAAACTCTCACTCAGTAGATGCCACGTTAATACATGCCTG